CAGTCGTGACTAGGGGCTTCCGCGCATGCGATGGTGACCGCAGCACCTTCCAGGAGCAGCTCAAGCAGATGCAGAAGATCCTTGCCGCAACAAGGGCTTTGCAGCTGGATCCGTCGGGACTTGGGGCTACACCGATTGCCTTGGTAACAGAAGTACCGTTCGTGTGCAGCTCAAGCAGGTGCAGCAGATCCACGGCACGCATCTTGCTCTTGCAATGATCCGGCAGGATGGATCCCTCGTGGCTTGGGGCAACAGCGATGGGGGTGTTGACAGCAGCGCTGTCCCAGTGCAGCTCAGACACGTGCAGCAGACCCAAGCCACCGCAAGTGCTTTTGCATCGATCCTGCAGGTTGGATCAGTCGTGACTTGGAGCGACAGCGATGGCGGTGGTTGCAGCAGCACCGTCCAAGAGCTGCTCAAGCAGGTGCAGCAGATCCCAGCGACAGGCAGTGCTTCGCCAGCGATCCTACGAGATGGCTCCATCGTGACGTGGCGCTGCAGTGATTATGGTGGTGACAGGAGCGTCGTCCAGGAGCAGCTCTAGCAGGTGCAACAGATCAAAGCCGCAAGAGTTGCTTTGCAGCAGTTGTGCAGGATGGACCCGTGGTGACTTGGGACAACAGCGCATGCGGTGGTGTCAGCATCACAGTCCAGGAACAGCTCAAGCAGGTGCAGCAGGTCCAAGCTACAATGTTTTTGCAGCGATCCTGCAGAATGGACCCCTTGTGACTTGGTACCGTGGTGACCGTAACACCGTCCAAGGACGTCCCCAGGAGTGGGGCCAATACCTTCCATTTTCCAGGACGCCTAAGGCCTAAGCATTGCTGCCTGCAGTGCGTGGATATTTGCGCCGTGCGTGCGATGTCCGCAACAGTAGTCGGTGCATACGTTTCCGCAGAGGGCGGCACTAACTATAGCTTTGTATTCAACATAGTTGGATCAACGGGCGTACCTATGTCAGTGCACAGCTTTGTAGCTTTGGTGGCATTGGCGGCTTGCATTTGGATGCTCGTGACAAAATGGCTTTGCTCGACACCTGCGCGCAGCCCGGGAGAGTGGCTGAGGTCTCCCTGGGCCGCTCCTTTTCATCCTCAGTTGATTCTGGGGTCACCACCCAGGGGTACGTACCACCTTTGCTGGTGCAGTCCATCGGCAGACTGTGGCTTGTCTGAGAGCTTTGTCGTGGACTTCGATAGCTTATGGATGATAGGTCCTGCGCAATCCAACCTGTTCACCTGCGTATCTGGGCGCATCCGCACTGTGGCCGGGTGGGTCGGAAGAAGCTTTTCCAGCGAGGATCGTTTGGCAATACTTGATACACGCGGCGCATCTGCAGGCAGCAGCCTGCCTCCAATCCAGGGCGGTGCATCAACGCTCGTGCCAAGGATTGTACCGACTCTGCTGGTGCGCTGGATCTGCAACTGGTGCCTCTGACGAGCCAGCTGATGGCTTGCCAGGCAGCATGGCAAGTGGAAATCAGTCATCCAGACGCCTCTCGGCCTACTCTGGCGTGGCTGGGCTCGAGCCCAATTCAAGCAGCGCCACGAACTTCACAGATCCGGGTTTCCTTTGCCAGCAGGCCTCACAGTTCCGCGTTGACGTTCTCCAGCTGCTGCTTCTTGGGCCCTCGCGCCTTCCGGGTGCCACCTGTGTCAGCGGGCAGACCTGTGTCATCGACCTTGTCGACAGCTTCCTGCTCATGGACACCTGCGCCGTGTCTGCCTCAAGCCTCGGAGGCCAGGCTGACAGGTCAGCCTCACTGGCGTCATGGGGGCCGTCCGCCCTCGTCGGTGCGGGAGGAATCTATCGACTATGTTGGTGCCGGAACGATGCCATGCTTCAGAAAGGCCTTGCCAATTTGCAGCTGGACTTGCACCAGTCAGACGTGTCCTCGCATTCTCGCGGGCTGTGCCAACGCCTGAAACTACCTCCACGCAGCGACTCGCCTGCAGTCTTCTCCCAAGATGCTGCTGAGCAGTAGTCACTGGTGTGCATGCTGGACTGTGGAATGCGAAAGCTTGCGCGCATTGGTGTGGTTTCCCCATCACGGTGCAAGTTTACGTCTCAAATCAAAGCAGTCTGTGTGATGCCATGCGC